ACACAATAAGCTTCTTGACAGATCCAAGAGAGAGCATGGGAGTTGCTCCCTGGTTCCATTCTGCTGCTCATTGGGATTGCTTCCTTGTGCTATCCAGGTGCTGCAACACTTATTACCACTGCAAAGATAAAAAGATCGAATAGTGAGATATCCTTTTCTTCCATATTGTAGAACATGGTAAGAAAGGCATGCCAAGACATCTTTGTTTTTAAGTGCTATTTCTGAATCCCAATTTAAAGCATTGTTTGTTTGCTTTTTATGGTCTATATATCAAAAGTCATTTTTTAAGCCTGTGAATTTCTCTCAAGGGGTTCTATGCCTCTTCCATGCAAGTGAATGTCAACATCTTAAATATATGAAAGAAAAGTGGAAAAGTACCGTATTTAATGATACTTGGAGTCCACAGCTTCCCTCTCCCATAAGTTGAGAATTCTCCAATTTAAAATTTCCCTTACATCTTGTATGTATATTGTAAAACAGTCCCAAGTATATTTGTCATGGAGTTTAGTGGCTTCTTGTACCCATCAACCATATAAGAATTAAACAATGCCTATCATTTACCAAGCATATGAGTACAAAGCAATCTACAAAGGTTAAGGTAGTCCCTTGACATGAATGTCTAGTTGTAACTGACTTTAGGGGGCGGTGCTCATCTCTGTTACTAAGCCAAAGAGCCAGTGTTGTCCAAGAACTGCTCTGGTGATCCTGTGGCCAGCATGACTGCTCCGAACGCTGTAACCTTCCCACCAAAGTGGTACCTATTTATCTACTTGCATTTGCATGCTTTCGAACTGCTAGGTTGGCAGAAGCTGGGACTAGTGACAGGAGCTCACTCCCATCATGCAGCATCATGCAGCCTTGAACTGCTAACCTTCCAATCTTCTGATCATCAGAATTGGCATCTTAACCACTAAGCCACTGCATCCCTAGACATTTTTGCATCATCCCAGTTTCTCAGGACTAGTGAAGGATCTGTGGAGAAGATGGAACATATAGGCGTATATATGGAATGATGGTATGATCGTCACAGGAAGCCTTGGGCAAAAGCCTGCTAGCCTTGGAGTATGTCCACTGGTTGCCACAGCTTCCAATCCTGGTTTATGATCCTTATATTTCAAAATGGGGAATGTCTTTAACCTGAGGGCCCAAGCCATTTTCAGAGAGCGTCTTGGAGTTTGCATTGTACCAGTAGATCAGAGGTGTAGTTACAGGAGGGAGAAAATTAGGACATTGCCCCAGTGAAGACTTTCATTTATCCCACCTCTGCCACCAATGCAATCCTATCCCACCACTATGACCACCAACTGTGGGACTCTCTTAGACATCCTTATGGTTCCTGTGTAAGACTTTATTCATCTTACATCCCCATTGGACACCACCCAACCAGATACCTTGATTAACTGCTTCCACCACAGAAACTGTGTGTCTGTACTTAGGCTTTCCAATATCATGTGGTATTCTCAGAGGCAAAAGCTAATAATAATAATAATGCTAACAACAACAACAATAATAATATACATTATTAAAAGAAATTGAACACAATACCAAAAATTATTTATTTGTTTCATATAAATCCTGACTGACACTAACTCTATGCCTTAGTTACCATAGACTCTGTTGGACTATGGTAATGTGCTCTACATGGGGCTGCCCTTGAAAAATGTTCAGAAGCTGCAGCTAGTGCAAAGTGCAGCAGCTAGACTGGTGTCAGGTATGCACTTTAGAGATCATATAACACTGGTCTTGCAAGAACTGTGCTGGCTTCAAATTTGCTCCCAAGCTCAATTCAAAGTGCTGGTGTTGAGCTACAAAGCCCTAAATGACTTGGGGCTAAGATATCTCAAAGACTGCCTCCTCTCATATGAGCTTGCCAGAAACTTGAGATCTTCAGAGGAGGCCCTGTTGCATATCCCAGCACTTCATGAAGTTAGGTTAATGGATACACATAATTGTATTTTCTCTTCTTGACCATGGAATTCCCTACCCAAAGAAGTTAGGCTAGCCCTTTCTCTTTTAAGCTTCCAGTGGGCAGCCAAAATAGTGCTGTTTTACATGGCATTTAGTGTTTGAAATTGCTGTTTTAACTTTAAAAAAAACCAACTGGATTCTAGGATTGTTTTTGATTGCTTTTGGGAATTAAAGAAAGTATTTTAATGTGTTTTATACATGTTTTTACCTCTGCAATTTTAAAATTGGTTTTTATTTGTTCATCACATCAGGAGCTCTGTGGGCTGGGAGACAATGCAGAAATACAAATAATTAAATAACACCCATCTGTCATTCTCTCTCTCTCTCATACACACACTGGTATCCTAACTACTGACTGTGACTCTAATTTCTGTCTCTGACCCTGATGAACTTTCCTAACCTTTCATACTCCTGCACCTAACTCTAACAGACTTAACTCTCACTCTGTCCCACTGCCACGCACACCTGCCTTTTAACACCCCCCAGACATTCAGTCATTCCCAACATTCAGTACTCTCACCCCTTCCAAAAGATCTTTACCTTATTACATCTACTATATGTTACATACATTCCATAGATAATTTAATAAATGAAACAATAATTGCCCCCAAAGTCCACAACATCACACATTACTGTATGAATTCTGCCTCAGGGATGAAATTTTCTTTCAGCCCTCAAATTTCTAGCATTGCAGTTTCTTTTCCAACAAATTTCTTTTGCATCTCTCCTCAAGCCAGCAGCTGGAGCTTCACTCTTAACTGTTCTCTTCTCAAAAGCAGAAATCCTGCCAATTAACTGTTTGAAATGGGATTGGGAGAGGGAGGGGTAAATGGAATAGATTTTTCAAAACAAGAAATACTCTCACAAGTTTTCTGTTGTGTCTCCTAAACTGTTTTGACTATAACTCTGTCAGAAGCATTAAAAAACCAAATATGGGAGAAGCACCTCCTCCTTTAATGGAGAGTGGAAGGGAAAAGGCTTAATAAGAGATAGCTAGATAGTACATTAGATTGTCGGCGATGAATCATAAGATTTATATTAATACTTGAGTCGAAGCTCAGGAAGTTATTTGTTTGGTTTGTTTGGTTTGTCTTATGTATTTTTGTTTATTTGTTGTTTGTATAATTTTGTTTAAGTATTGTTTGTATTGTAATGTGTAATCCGTGTTATGTAATGTGAATGTTTATTGTTTTTTAAATATATTAATAAAGTTATTAAAAAAAACAAATATGAAAAATACAATTTAACCAGTTTATAGCTAGGCACATCATGCCTTCCTAAAACATTTTAATGGGCATTGATATATTGAAAGAGTACTCATTGTATGCAGGATTGGAACTAAACCTCCTTTAACTCTCATGTTATTGTTATGTGCCTACAAGTTGACTCTGACTTCTTGGCAAGATTTATTCAGAGGATGTTTGTTTATTTACTTATTCATTTATTTACTTCATTTATATGCTGCCTTTCTCCCAGAGTGGCTTTCAGAGATAACAAATTAAAACTATTTGCAATCAAGTTTTAAAAACAACTAAAAATCCCCATATTAAACACTATAAAATCATTTAAAAATTATACAGAAGTAAAAAAAACAAATAAAAATATGTCTAAATAAGAATGTTCCCTGCTTAACTATTAAAAACTTGCTTAAATAAAAATGTCTTTGTTAGCCTGCAACAGGAAAGCAGGAGGGAGTTCCAGAGGGTGGGAGCAGCCACTGAGAAGTCTCTCTTATGTCCTCACCAAGCAAGCCTGGGATTGTGGCAGGACCAAGAGAAAGCTTTCCCCTTTTGATCTTGGACCCTTGCAGGTTCGTATGGAGAGATACAGTCTTTTAGATAGTCAAGACCTAAGCTGTAAAGGGCTTTATAGGTCATGACCAGCACTTTGAATCGTGCCCAGAAATGAACTGCTAGTCAGTGAAGCTACTATCACTCTCACTATGCTCCCTATAACTGGCCCCGGTCAGCATTCTGGCCATCTGCTGTAGTATCTGAACAATTTCCAAAGGCAGCCCCTGTAGAAATGCATTACAGTAATCCAAATGGGATGTAATCAAGGCATATGTCACTGTAGCCAGGTCTGATGTCTCAGGTCAATCCATGCAAATGCACTCCTGGGCACTGCTGAAACCTGGGCATCCAGGCTCAGAGTTGATTCCAGCAGCACACACAAGCTGTGAGCCTGAGATTTCAAGAGAAATGTAACCCCATCCATCATAGGCAAAGTCCCTACTCCTTGACCTGCCTTTTGACTGACCAGGAGCACCCCTGTCTTGTCTGGATTATGTTTCAATTTGTTTGCCTTCTTCCATCCAGATGCTGGTTCAGTACAGAAACAACTTCCATGGAATTGGATGGAAAGGAGAGATTGAGTTGGGTGTCATTAGCATACTGGTGATACTGCACCCCAAAATTCCAGATGACCCCTCCCAGCAGTTCCATGTAGATGTTAAACAACATGAGGGACAAAACAGGACCCTCAGGGATCCCAGAGGCCAACAACCAGGGAGTCAAACAGGAGTTCTCCAGCACTTGCCATTGGCTTCCTCTTGATTGAGAGTCAGTTTGCCCAAAATCACACAGTGGATTTCCATAGCAGAGGATTCACACCCTGGTTTCTCAGAGTCTTAGTCCAACACTCAGACCACTACAACACATCAATGTGCATCACTCAGCACTCATTCCTGCTAAACATCTGATGGGGATTTATAGATTTTCTGTTTTAAATGGCTCTGTGCTTGTAGAATAGGTTGCTCTGGGTGCATAGAGTTATATTTGAGTTACAGTGCACCACATCTTGTTTCTGCCTCATGAAAATGTAAGAGGATTTCTGCTGTTGGATGAGATCAAGGACTTTTCTAGACCAGCACCTGTACTTTCATCAGTGATCAGCGAGATCCCTACCAAAGCGTGACTGGCAAACCATGGAAAGGGAAGTGCTTCCAGGCTAGAATATTGTAAATCCTGAGTTCACCCTCGTTCCTTGAGACTCCATCAACACTTAAGGTACATGTGATAATGATCTATGTAGCCAGCATAGTGTAGTGGTTTGAACATTGGACTACTGCTCTGGAGATCAGAGTTCAATTCCCTGCTCGAGCATAAAAACCCATTGGGTGACCTTAGGCAAGTCAGACTCTCAGCTTCAGAGGATGGCAATGGCAAACCCCCTCTGAAAAAACTTGCCAAGAAAACCCTATGATAGGTTCACCTTAGTGTTGCCATAAGCCAAAAATGACTTTAAGTCATAGAACAACAATGTGATCATGCCAACAGGAATTTCAAGGTAGGAGTGAGATGAATATGGAGCAGAATAACCCCACTCTGCTGTGGAACATCTTTTCCTCAAGAGGTGGAAAAGAGACACCATTGTAAGACTAGAGAAGAAGAGGCTCAGCAGGGTTACTCTACAACGCAGGTATTCCATTCCTTTTGGGTCACATCAAATTGACAGAATGAGGCCAGAAGCCACCTATGTACTCTCCTGAAGGTAGCCTTACAGCTGCATACTGCAGAGATATCAGTCCTGTGCTAAAGTGTTTGCAAAACTGTGTTTAACTTTGACAGACAGACAGCAGCTCCTATTGGTGGTGGCTAGAAAACAGTTTTTTTCTTTTCTTTTAAAGATGCCTGTTTTGTTTAGCTCTATATGGAGACAAATATATGATACTATTCTTACTTAGAACGGTAGCTCTGTATTCTAAATACATTCATTGCATTGTTTTTACATTTAACTTTTGTATATATTAATTGTAAGAATGCTTTGAGGTGTTTTTTAAAGAAAAGACATTTAAAAAACATAATAAACCATTAATGTAAACACATTTTTAGTTCTTAATACCTGGTAATCTCTCTCTTGGGAAGCTGGTGAGAAGTCTTATGAAAGCATGCTGCAAGAAATCCCAGTTGTGAGTCTCAGAAAGGCACTAAAGCCCAACACCAATGTCAGCTTCCAAGTGCCTAGAGAAGTCAGCTTGGTCCCTGTAATGCAGAAGGCAGTAATATCAGATATCATCCTTTTCTTTCCTGCCTAAGGGAGTCCCATGTTGGGCAAACAGGGGAAATCCTCTGATTGAGGCTGGCATAAACTATTTTCTCATCTCTTCCAGATCACAGAAAGAGAGCTCTGGGTGAATCTTGTGGGGTGAAAAGTGATAATTCCAACAGATAGGATTGTTTCGTTTATTACTTTGATTTCAAGGCCATTCAGTCTAGCTTTTGCCAAAGGAAGGAGTAAGTAGCAATGCTTAGAAGCTACCACTAGATGCCACTATTTAGACAAAAATCTCAGCTGGTTTCTTCAGCCAGCCTGACCTGTATGTTGGATGGAGCCTGTCAGTAAAAACTCAGAAGCCCTGCTGCACATGGGGTGTTTCCTGAGAGACAGCTCCTAGTGCTGCCAGTCAAAAGGATCGTGCACTTTCTCTGTATTTTCTTCCTCAACTATTTTTTTCTTAGTTAAAAAAAAGATGAAAGAAACAGTGGGGAAATGCAGGAGGGTTACAAATGGAAGGTAATACTGTCTATAGACACCCAATCAACCCCCCTGTTTGAGGCAGGGTTTTTCAGGTTAAAAACTTCACTGGGAATTACTCATGATCACAAGGCTGAAATCTTACCTCAAGGTTGCATTGTGTTTAAATTTCCCCCTGTGGAATGATTTATTGTTCATGCTGTGCTATCCAATGTGCAACAGAATGATCATCCCAATGCACGATGGCACCGCATCCACAACTTCACTTCTGCAGCCTTAAACTGCATGTGTTGGACAATAAGCAGAAGGGGCCATGTGGAAAAGAAGGCAGGGTGTGTACCATTGCAAGCTATTCTTGCCGAAACTCCCTTTTCTGTACAACTATTAGCAGCATAGACACCATGTTCTCTTTTCATCTGGTGTGGTGATTTGAGCATTGCACCAGGACTCTGGGGACTAGGATTTGAATCCCAGCTCAGCCATGTAAACCCACTGGGTGACCTTGGGCAAGTCACACACTCTCAGTCTCAGATGATGGCAACGGCAACCCCCCCCCAACAAATCTTGCCAAGAAAAACCCATGATAGGTTTGCCTTAGGTTTGCCATAAGTTGATGGAACTACAGGAAAAGAGATTCCATTTAAACATTAAGAGAAGCTTCCGGACAGTAAGAGTTTGATAGTGGAACACACTCCCTTGGAGAGTGGTGGTGTCTCATTCTTTGGAGGTTTTTAAACAGAGGCTGGAAGGCCAAATGTTGGGGTTGATTGTGAGTTCCTGCATGGCAAAGGGTTGGATTGGATAGCCCTTGTGGTCTCTTCCAACTCTATGATTCTGTGATTCTGTAAGACAAAAAACTTGAAGGCATTCAACAACAACTATAGCTTACATATTCTGAATCTGCTAGAGTATAATCCCATGGAACAATAATTATGTTGGTGACAGTTGTTCTATAGGAGATATTTGGATAATTGAAAAATAAATCAGTTTATTCATACATAATTGCACGACCGCTACAGTGTACACTGATGATATCTGGGATTGTAGGTATTTTTTTGGAGGCTTTAATATGTCACCATCACTACTTTGGATTTTGTTTAAATATTGACCATGCTGGCCTAAAAACTGATGGAAGCTGGAGGGCCACAGCTATAGCACCCCTGCCCTGCAGCAACTTAATGCACTACACAATTATAGCACTATGGTTCCACTTCAGCTGCCCTGGCTGCGGAGTTTAAAGGCCCCACCCTCCACTGCCAATCCCAGGATTCCATAGGATGTTGCCATGCCTCTTAATGTGTAACCACAAGTATTGTAATGGTATAGTGTGAAAGAGACCAGAGACAGGGCCTTTTTATACATTTAGTCCTGAGAAATACTCATATAAAGCTGCATAGGGCATACTGAAACAAATGTGCTAATCCCATTCTAAGGGAGATGGATGAGGATGTGTTTCTACAAGGATGATAGTTTGCAGCCCCATTCAGCCCTTCTGCTCAAGGAGCATGAGAAGGTGCTTGCTGTTTTGTCCCACTCACTGTAGGCTTTTCCACAGCCTTCTCTTGTACAAAAGGAAGCAAGGAAGAACCATGGAAGTAAAAGAAGGTTCTGTCTCATGTCCTTCATCCCTTGACTGTCTAGCATTAGCTACTGAATGAGTTAGTACATGCTGAGCATTGGCCAATTTTAACTAATAACAATTGACAATGTAATCTGTAAATGTGTGTACTTCTTTCCAAAGCCAATTATGTTGTGTGTGTGTGTGTCGTCCCCCCTCCCCTGCTCACTCCAATATGCATCATATTATAATTGGACATAGAATTAAAACAAAAACAAAAAAACCTTTCCATGGTTAGATAGCTGTCAGAGGATTTGCCAGAGAGAGGGCTCCATCCTATTTCTAGAGCATGGAGTAGGTACGTATGCTCCCACCCTCACCCCCATTGTGTCTCTGTTGAAGCTCAGAGGAACCACACAACTTGGCACAGACAATTTTTATCTTTCTGGCCAGACATTTCTCAGTGGAGAGAAGATGAGATCTTTCTGATGGCGCATACAGAGAGACTGACACACATAGAAGAAGGTGGCAAGGCAGATTTGGGGATTGCCCGTGAGACAGAACAAAGAGTATAGCATTGTCAGTTTTTTAATGATGTATGTGTAAATGCATGTGTGTGTGTGGGGAGAGAGATCAGCAAGGAAATGGTGGTTTGATTTATTTATTAGGAATTAGATTCAGACTCTGCTGGCAGTAGGTTGAGGATACCATAAAATATGAGCAATAAGCTTAGTCTTAGCACATCAGTATGATGTGAATTTTGAAAAAGGATCAAAAGGATTAAAAGGATCCAAAGGCACTTTCAGTCCCGCCCCGTCTTTTAGGCACCTTAGTTCCCTGTGATGTTTGAACTCGAGGATCTGTCATATTATTAAACAGGACCAGGTTTTCAAGCCACATTTTGATTGAGTTATTCTCATGAACCACAATTTGAATAGACTGTAGTCCCCCAAGTTTGGATATCACAGGGAACTACCTTTGGATTTATACCGAAGTGGAAGCTTTCAGTCTGCTCCAGCACACAAATGAAGAAGGGAGAGAACCATGCCAACCCCAGATTTACCACAGCTAGTTCTCATAGGGGGAGACTATGGTTCATTCACTTCCATATGGTGCCTGAACCAAACCTCTATATACCATTTACATTTATTTTTTTAAAAAGATATGAGTGAACAAATATCAAATGCAGTTTCTTTTTGCATTTACCCCCATTACATTCCAACACATCGGGTAGCTTAAAATAGGTCAAAACACAGTAAAAATTTCAATGACACATCAATGAAAACTTGAACAAAATCCATGTTTATGACCAATTTTGTTGAAGCCAATGTTATTACCCCCCCTCTTTGTAAACAAGAAAATATATGCATGCCTTTAATGCTCTTGTCAACTTGTGCACATGAATTTCATAGGGTTTTCTTAGGCAAGAAAAGCTCAGAAATGGTTTGCCATTGTGTTTTGCTAACATATAACCACACCACCTGCCATTCCTTGACATTTTCTTCTTCCAAGTATTCACCAGGCCTGACCCTGCTTAGTTTCCAAGATCAGATTGGATCTGGTGCCTTCAGGGTATTTAACAGGGCTGAAGAACTGACATTTATATCACTTCTTACTTTCCAGCATCTTGCTATTTGGTAGATAAATGTGATACTAGAGAGTACGATATTTGAAAACAGGGTAGGGGAAAATACTTTTGTTTAAAAAAAAAATCAGCAAGACTATCACAGACTTCTCTTCTCCCATAAGTCCCTGATCAGTCCATAGGCAGTTGATTAGGTAGCAGATTGGCAGTTGATAGCTGCTTGCAAATATTTTTGTTCAAAAGTCAACAAGTCTTTATCAGATGGTGGGAACACAGAGAAGGAGCCAATTAATGGCTCCATCATAAAGGTGAAGCATTGATCAATCAGAATAATTCACCTGGACTCTCCAATTGCTATCTCCTAAATTTGCAGGGATTTTGTTTGCCTTTCCTGCTACCCTTTGCCTCATTGATAATGGAGGAATCCTACTCAAAGCAGTCATAGGCAATGAAATGAAATGGGAGGGAGAAAGGCTTGCCAAAGG